ATATATATATATATATATATATAAATTGATGAAAATTTGTAAACATTATTTTAAATTATTACGATCATTTTACATTTTAAATAATGTACAGCTGTCTTTCACCTTTGATTTTTACATTTATATTTGTATTCTATTTATATTTATTTAAATGTAGAAAACGCCAATTAATCAAATTCCAAGTCTAATTAATTTTAAAATTAATGTTGCTACACTAAAATAAATAAGAAAAGCTGCACACATTATATATTCTACCTGTTATATTGAATTCGGTACCTTCGATCCACCCGAATTTCAATATGTAAATATAAGATATACGCATATATGTTATATAATTAATTAATTAGCTAAAATTAGCTAAACACATTCTAATAAATTGATATATTTTTGGATAGTGAATATCGATATCAAATTAATAGAATTTTATAATTATGTAGTTACACTTTACAATATTTATATGATATATATATTAAAATTAAAGAATGTATTACATTTATGTCATATAATTTTTAAACGATTAAACGAAAAGAGACAAGGATAGGACAAAGGTAAATTACAATAAGATAAATATATTCAAAAATAATAAATTCCAATTGTATTGTTATGTATTTTATCTTATATATATCTCATTGAGTCTTTTTTTATTATTGTGTAAGAAGCCTAAAAATTGATTTAAGTAATAATTGCTATAGAAAATTATTATTTCAGTATTTTGAAATATCGTCTTTGAAATTATCTTTTTCGCAGTGATCGAGTTCTCCCCTCTCTCTCTCTCTCTCTCTCTCTTGAGGGGATTGTGTCCCAGAGCATCTAATAAATAGCAATCAATCTCTCTCTCTCTCTCTTTCTTTCTCTCCCGTGCATGCGCGTTTCACGATTTGTTCTATGTGTCACATTTTGCAAATTATTTATATTGCTTACATTAAATATACACAATCTTTACTTTGATTTTTTAATGCAGAAATATAAAAAGTTTATTCAAGTAGCCGTGAGGATTTGATCAGCACAAGACTCCATAATCATTGTTCCTTCTTCGTTAGTTCAGTAATCGAATCGATTTTGCCGTATAGAGGTATTAATACACTGGCGAACACAAGAATTACAATTTATAATATTGTTATAAACTAATGTTATAATCTAACAAGGAAACCTCACAAAGTGTTAAATTTTAATTTTAATGAAACTTTGTACACTTATGGATTACGTAAATAGATGAATTTAAAAAGTATTAGTTGATGCTAAAAAACGATTTGAAGAGAACCATCCCTTATATGTAAAGCAGTTTTCAGTTCTTTTCGTTATATCTCGAAAACTATTCAAGGTCGATATAAAAAAATGTTTTGCATTTTATGTAAAACATTAACTCTACATACGAAAGTGATAACGTTTATACGTACACATTAAAATCAGAACTTGACACTTAATTTTGTCATAAAGCTACTTACATATTCAACAACAAACAATAAAACAATATTCACACATATTGATTGAATAGTGTTTTATTGTTTTTCGTGACAAAACGTTATCATTTTCACATGCGGAAACATTAAGTGTTTTATTGTGACAAACTTTCTTCGTGACAAATTCAATTTCCGTATGGAAATGATAACGTTTAATTTGTCACGGAAGCCATATATTTCCAATATTTTTGCTATAAATAAGTGCAATATGAAGTATAAATACTCGAAGATATATTAAGAATTGATTAGTTTTTTTTTGTGCATCGTACGACCTGCATAATTGATTTTACTTCCCAAGAAAAACGGTGACGTAAGTTCTAACATACATCTAATTTTCAAAAATAAAAGTTGAGAATTCAAATTAATAGATAATAAACTATATATTGCTATTATATTAATAATAAGATGTTTCTTGTTTTATTAGTTTTGTCATTTAAAAAATAAATTGAAGTTAAAATTGCAATTTTTATAGAAGTATTATTATCAGATTATTATTTCACAGACGAATTGTAGATATATTATAAAAATAATAATTACAGAAAATATTGTCAAGATGAAGTTCATTATTTTAATTATTTCCATTGTGATTGCTATGGCTATAGTTCCTTCTCAAGGATGTCGTTATTTGTGGGGGGGCGTAAGTATTTATAAAATATATATTTGATGAAAGTCATTTTCCGCATTATAAAGACATACAAAAGAAACAATATTCGAGTTAAAAAATTTTAAATTCACATTTTGTTCTGAGCATAAATTAATTAAGACCACAAGAAAATGTTTTACGTCTGTATCGATGCATCCGCAATATTATCCACAAATTAATATTAATTTTTAATGTCGAATAACACAACTATAAATATTATATTTTTAATATTTTAGTGTTCCCAGGATAGTGATTGCTGTGATCACTTGTATTGTAATACTATAACCACTAAAGTGTGTGAATGGGATTTCACATTTGGAAAAAAATAAACTAGATAACAGACCTCTTTGTCCTGGATCATATCCATCAAATATATCAGAATAATGATACTAGAATAAATCGCTTAATATCGTTCCTTATATCTGACTATATGGCCTATATATCTCTTTATATTTATAAAATAGAAAAGAGAATTTCTCTGTTATATAATAACAGAGAAATGTTATATTGTAACTTTAAATAAATACATTCAAGAGCTATCAATTTTCTGTGTCTTATTTATTAATAATTAATTATATATACGTAATAGGTACATATCTTTAAGTACAAGATATTTTAGTTAAAACAGTCAATTATCATGCAGCGAAATTATTAAAGATACAAGAAAATGTTTCACATAAAAGAGGGGAAAAAAATGTAATATTGCATTTTTTTTTTAAGTAACTGTACGTTTTCTTTATACCCATCATTTCATCTCATTATTCTCTGCATAAAAGTATTAAAATACAATTATCAAGAAATCAACAGTTTACAAGATATTTCATATTTTATGTCAAAATATGACATAATAAAATATGAAAAACTCGTAAAGTATTGATTTTTTGAACTTTCACTTAACTATGTTATGTGCAGAATTATAGGAAACATATTATGTAAAAAAATTATGTAATTATTTTAAAAAATGAAAATATAAATATATAAAATAAAAGTGACTGTCATATCTTTTAGCATCTCCACTTGGAAAAATTGCAACTTGACTAAAATACGTTTTCCTCGAAACCGTTTCACTTTTATTTGAAATATTTTCTTGAATCACCAATAATTTCGGAAAAATTGACTGTTTTAATTAAAATGGGACGTCTTGTATATTTACTATATTTAATAATATATTTAAGAGTTTTTCAATATTAATATATTTAAATTTGTATTGCTATTGTATGTATGTGAATTATTAATTTACATATAAGGGGTGGTTTCATCCCTTTAAATCGCATTTTAGCTCCAACTGATAATTTCTAAATTTATTTATGTATGTCATGTATGTGACCTCAAAGTGTATTAAGTGTTTCATTAAAATTGAACACTTCGCGAGGTTTCCTTGTAAGTGTAATATTTGTAATACTGAATTAAATAGGACTTGATTAGTGTTTGTTTTATTAAGCACACGATAAAATGCACTATTTATAGAATCTATAAATTTTAGAGATAGAGTAATTGAATTTATGAAAGAAATCTGCACCTGTTTCCCTCTACCTTATGGAGTTCACCGGCTAAGATCGCAGCTACGCCAATCGCTGCATTAGAGTCGACAATGTTTGCTTCGGTTAGTAGAAGATCGGCAGCAATGCGAACCAATGTTTCATTTACTGTAACAATCGTGTCGAACCACATTTCCGGTAATCCGTACTGACTTTCATACCACGTGTACTCGGTTATAGGAATTTCCAATTCATCAGACGAAATCGTGTGCCTTCTAATGTTTTCGACTAAGGGATCAGAAACTGTAGTTCGTACCTCCTGTGGATTGAGATTACATGTGATCCACAAATTTATATTTCCTTCTCAAGTAAATATTAACTTTGTTTTAGACGAGTTAAGGTGCAAATTCATGAGACGCTCGTTTTAGCATTAGAGCCGTGGCACATAGAAGAACTTAAGCAGTAAGAATGTAAGCAGTAAAGAAATCAACATATTGGATTTTTGGTAATTACGTGACTTCGACTTTGATGCTAGCGTCAAAAAAAGAAGCTGGATTTTCTCAGCTTCAGCGTCAAAGGTTGTTGCTGTTTTGTTCTGAACATTTTAGATACGAATAATACGATTGACGTTAAACTTGCCGCTTTTCGTGCAAGCCAACTATAATCACGTAATTTTGACGCCAAAAATGAGCGTTGAGCGTCAGCATGAAAAGGCACCTTTATAGTTCATTAGATCGAAAAATAAGAAACAATTGACAGCTAATAAAAAAATGAAGCACTAATAAAACATGTTTTCACTTACGATAATTTTTATATTTGGATTCCATTCTTTGATAGCCATCGCAATACCCGTGGTTAATCCACAACCATTGATCGTCGTTGGTAGCAATACTATATTAATCTTTTCTATATTTTCAATAATTTCTAAGCCTAAGGTAGCTTGTCCAATAATCATGTTGGGATGATCATTCCTATTCAAAAAATTTTGATTAAGAAATTAGACGAAATTATTAATAAACCAAGCAATCGTTGATATAATAATAAAATATGATATAAAGTATAATGATGTAAAGATAATAATTAACGTTCTTTAATTTACTTAATTTTTTAATAATAAAATGAATCTCATAAATAAAAATAATTGATAATATTATTTTTTAATGGCAAATATTTTAACTTAAATAAAGTTCTACAGACAAAAGGCGTACCCATCAAGATAACACAAGCCGTCTCTCTCGGCGATACGCAAAGCAATATTATGTGCTTCTTCCATATCTTTACCCTGAACGAGCACTGTTGCTGCGAGGTTTCGACACTCCTTAACTTTTTCATTTGCCGTTGAGTCCGGCATCACCACTGTCACCGGTATTTTAAGCTTCTTTCCAAAATAACAGAGAGAATAAGCGGCCTGAGAAGCTGCCTGTTGAGATTGCTATGACGCCCTTTTGTTTCTGCTCGCTCGTTAGCTGTAGCAAAGAGTAAACCACGCCGCGGGCTTTGATGCTGCCGGTAATTTGATGAACTTCTCCCTTAAAATATATGTTGAATCCTTGGCAGAATAACATACTCTAAAGCAATCATATTAGATTTAATTAATGACAAATTAAGAGGCGATATTAAAGACGCGAACGACTCTTAAGCAATTCTTTGTTCTACATGTTTAGATTGCATTTAAGTGATATATACACAAATTTATTACTACAATTAAATTTATTTTACATCGCGTGTTAATATTTAAATCTCGAAATACATATTTTTTCAATTTTTCAACATTACATGGATTTAGATTTTGAGATCTTGAGATTATTAAAATTTTCGGTTTATTTGATGTAGAAATATTTATTTTGTATAATTTGGATTCTCAGTTTCTAACAACTTTACTAAAAGTTTAATACGCAAAAAATTGAAAAGATGTTATAGTATTTATTACCTCAAAATGTGGTGTTCCAAGAATGTATCTTCCTATCTTAATCTTCGCTATTCTGATTGCGATAGACGAGATCTTGTATCTTTGCGATAATTTTGCTTTCTTAGAGCCTTTCTCAATTATTTTCTATAAAGGAAAGTACTAAATTTATTTTGCTAATATTATTTCGAAGCTTCACTACTAAATTAACATTTAAACGAAGGAAGAATGTTAATTTAGAATTTTGATCAATTAAATCTAAAATACCCATGAAACACAAAAATGATTCTGGTGTCGTAACAGTGGGTAGGCCAGGGTATAAGAAAATGGCACGATATTTCCTTTTGTTGTTGTCCATTCCTTAAGCTTCTGCTTCTTTTTCATTCGAAGAAACGGAGACATGTAAAATGAAAAGTAACGTTCCTCAACGAAAAATTAAAGTTACTTTTTTCGACAGAGTCACTTGACACGCAATTGCACTCAGGTCAATCAGAGACAGAAGCAGGGCGATCGAATTCGACTTGTCTCTTGTCGTAAACGACGTAAACTAATCGCGGAGAACATATCACTTGTCACCAAAAGCTCATTTCTCGTCCTTTGCCGAAGTCTTTGTTTGTTTCTAATGCGATAACGATATTTACAAATTTCGATCTTACATACTCGACAAATAACGAGAAAAAAATAGAATTAATTAATGCGGTTACATGAAGGAACAAGTGTTATTCATTATTTCTGCATTTGTTCCATATTTTATTACACAATTTTTATTTTTAAGATTTTTAAGGGCATATCCAAAATTAATATAGATTTTTTTCTTATTAATCTTAACATCTTATTTATCTTAACTTTAACTTTGATCAAATTTTTGCTGGAGATGTACGATTTGTTCCGTATTTTTTTATTTTTACCTGCTGCTTATAATAAATACGGATTTTCTATATTATTCAATTGTAAATGAACATTCTACAAATGTTAAAATTTTTTAAAAATGTTGAGAAAGGTAAGCGAGATCGTAATGCTTGTTTAAATTTTTGTTTATCTATTAAATCTTCAAACAAATCCATTCAGCTGTAAAATGATATCATCACCCTACGCAACAAAGGAAATAAAGAATCGTAATATTATTAAAACACATTATAATATAATAATAAATAAGTTAAAATGGCTCAACAAAGTAACAAATCAATAAGTTAAATAAGAGCTACGAGCTTGAGCTAGGTATTTAATGCTCCAATACAATAACATCAGGTGATTAAAAAGAGCTTCATGCTGTGTTTTGTTTTAATCACTTGATGTAATTGTATTGGAGCATTAAATACCTAGGTCAGGCTCGTAGCCCTTATTTAATTTATTGATTTGTTACATTATAATATTTTACAATAAATTTATTTTAAGATTATATTGTAATGATATAAAATATTGTTACATTGAGAAATCGGCTAGAATGTGCTTTACGACCATAAAACGCATTGAATTAATATACAAACTTAATATAAATTATTAAATTTGAGAAAATTATCGCGAAATTGAGAGAGCTCTAGACTCATTCCAGTTTATCGTTTAACGAAACCACCTGAACAGTAGCAAAAAGATGAAGCTTACAAAGCGGCCATCCTAGCCTTTTTCTGTATAATGTTGCAAATTATCAATTTCGATCGCTGCTGAATTTAAAATATACGAGGTATATATTCTCATTCATCATTTTAAATAATAAGGTATAACATTAAAATATAGGCAAATATATATTCAAAAGTCATAAACTTTAAACCTTTTCAGAAACTTATTTATTAAATTCTTAATATATTAGGTTTCTTTAAGATTTTAAGAATTGTGGATTTAAAATATACATAGAAAAAGCAACAAGTTAAATATTTTTTATAATCGTATATAATACATATAAAATAAAATTTAAAATATTTAAAATACATTTATTTGTTGTAAAACTATTTTATTAAAATTATCATATCACTGATTTCATACAGCAGTTCTGTATGAAAAATTCATTATAGATACGCGAGAAATATTGATACAGGATAAATAATATCCTTATTCTGTAGGTTTTATTTGTTCTAATTCATTTGATATAGACGCTAAGTACTCTGCAACTTTCATTAATTGTTGGGTAATATTCGTATTGTTCCATTCTTGTTCCTTGACCTTTTTCACGACTCCTTGAAGCGACAATTTAGCGCTTCCCAACATCTTCCTTTTCTTGACAACTGCGATGTCAGTAGCGCAACGTAAATACGTTTGCGCTAAATTGCAACATAATTCCAGTACATTTAGAGTTGTATCTTCGCTGTGACACCATTTTGGATCTGAAGTGATAAAACGATACGCTTGTTGTAGATAGTGTGCCGCTTTCTCTTCGTCAACGTCCGTTTTTCTCAATACGACAAGTTCAGCGTACATTCTCCAAATATCTGGATTATTAACTGTATTAGAAGTAATTCTTCCAAATAATTCCAAACTGTTTTGAAGCAAACGAGATGCTGGATTTCCGTCCGCGTCATTAATATTATTTGTTATAGCATTTGTTAATATTTGAAGAACTTGAACATCTGAATGGCTGTTTTTCAAGTCCAAAATACGATGATAACATCGAATAACCTGCAAATAAATTGTTGAAAAAATTGATAAAATATTGATAAAAAATATTTAATATAAAAATGTAAATATATTTAATATAAATAACTAATTCTACAATTGATTTAAAAATATTTTAACTCTTAAAATTAGTTTGAATAGTTTAGCAAATAATTTTTGTAAAAAATTGTCATATGTGGATATTTACTTCTGAAAAATGTCCCAAATCAATGCTCACGACCATCAAATTGTCCCACACTTCCCAACGATCGTAATTACATTTTATCGCGTCCTGCAAAGACTTCCAAGCTCTTGGTTTATCTCCCAATTTTATGTACGCTTTTGCTAAATTGTTCCATGCTTCGAAAGTCTGAAATTTTTACGTAGAATAAAAATTTTATTTAATTTGTATATCAGTTATAAAAAAAATAGCAATACGTGTAGAAGAAATATGTGTACGTACAGATTGTTCTAAAGCACAGTAATGTCTATACGCCGCAGCAGCCAACTTCCAATCTTCTATCTGCAACGCTGCATAGCCTAGCCTAAACCACACAAGTTCCTGAATGTTATTCAATTCGACGGATAGCTTCAAATGTGGCACAGCCTCGACATACTAAAAAATTAATGTTACATTTGAGATTTGAATAGAAGTTTTACATTGAAAGTTAACGGCTCAAATACTAACATTTTTCTTTGCGAAATAATAGAATCCCCAATGCTTTTGTACTCTACTGCTTCTTTCCTCGGATAATTTCCATGCCACTTCATAGTGACTCACATCTTCGGTCGCATCTCCCAATAGACACCACAATTTCACCGTTGGCTTTTTAGATATTTCCTGCTCAATAATCTCAGCTGCCTGAAAACGTTCAATACAAGGAACATTTATTATACAATATAACTTTCTTTGTAGTATTATACTATATAAAGTATATATATATATATGTATACCTTGTGTTTCAAATTTAACACGGTGTAACAGACAATCACATCTTCCCATAGTCCTAGTTTTGTGAAAATCTCCAGAGCGCTCTTCACCAAGCCGAGACTGAGCATTACATTGGCCAGTTTCTCCTTCAACGTCCAAACAGGCCTCATACCGCTCGCAAAGAATAAATCCATTCTTCTGGCTACAGGCGCTCTTACGTCATTGTAATCCTTCAGCAGAGACTCCGCTTGCATCATAGATCGCTCGACAGTTCTCTTGTCGTCGGACTCCAGTGAGCAACGGTAGCACAAAGACGTCATCTTTAGCGACCAATTTTTTGTACTCTCAATAACTGTCTACAACAAATATTTCGTCAATTATTTATAAACGATGTAACAAAATACAACATTGAACACTGTTAACTTACAGTTAGATACGGTCTGATTTCCTCGTCAGTGAGTTTGTGCCTAGGTTGACATAACTGCAACTCATCACTATTGACTATTAAAATCTTTCTGTTGCAGTGGTTTTACTGTGATTGATACAAATATACAAGCTGTCATACTTACTATTTTGCCAAAATTATTGCTTCTTCTACCATGCCTAGTTTAGTCTCTTCCATATGCTCCAAAAACTCGATGTGCTCCAATCTCAATTCGTCATTTAAAGTCAAAGATTTCGGTACATCTTCGCAGTCCACGGAAGGAAAAGTATCCTTGTCCATCTCCACTTTGAGGTACAACTGCGCCTTCTCTTCTTGCTGGTACTTGGTACGTTTTCCCATCGCACCTTCCAAATTTAATCTTAAGCCCGCTGTGATTTGTGCATATTCAAGATGCTTCTCCGAATTCTGTACTCTTCTGTAGTGCAAATAAAATCGGGCAGCTTCCAGATGGAATGAAAGCCTGCAAAGGAGGTTTTCCAATATATTCAGATTATTAATTTCCGTTATTAGATTCTCGGTTTCTTCATATAGCACCCCGGAATCTTCATCCAACGCATGCTGATGCAACAGAGAGGCTCTGAACAGCCACCAAACGCAACTTCTGTACTTAAGCTGCAGATCTGCATTAGAAAATATTGTCTTGGACAGATACAGAAGCTCTGGTCTTCGTACATTTACATTGCATCCATCGTGCAAGGATAGATGCTTCAGCGCCTCGTCTCGTCTGGTTTTCAACCAATCGATATCATTGTCAATGCCAGGGCCTGTCCAGTTGCATTGCACAAAGTGCAATAACGAAGCCACTCCTGCACACAGCCACGACAGATGCGCATCGGTTCTCGATAAACCGTTATTTACAATCTCTTCCAAGCTATCGCCATTCCTCACTTCCTCGATAAACGCAGAAAGTTCGTTATTAATTGTATCTTCGTACTGGCCGTTCAATATGCCGGACACATTATGCGGCAAATCTGAAACTAAAATTAGAAACAATTGTTGACAGAATCATGACGTACAACTCTTAGAAATATATGTGTGTGCTCGCAATTCCATATATTTGGTAAATACACACATTTGTTAAATCATCCAGTTATACTGTAATATATATAGTTAACCCGTTGTGGTCACACCTCTGAAAAATAACATATTTGGTCATGCTGGGTCCGCGGGACCCGGAGCGGAAATGTAGTTGCCATTCTTAAAATGTAGTGACCTCTTTTCGATGTATCGACTTGAAACTTGAATTGAAGTTAGTTTAAGATCTCTTTTGTGTAATGCAATGTGTATTTTATATTTATTTATTTTTTTTAATGTTGAGAAATCCTCGACAAAAAAATTTTCGCTAATTTTATCTTTTTTCACAGAAAAAAGATAAAATTATTTTGATTAAATTATTTTGAGCGGTAGTTATAAAGATATTTAGTTGTGAATTTTGCCTGGGTCCCTGGGACCCACAATGACCATCCCGGGTTAACAATAACTGACAATAATCACCTTCACTTATGGAGAAATTAAGTAAAAGTTGAACTTCCACGTCTTCGTCTATTTGACTTGTGAGTAGAGCCATGGTGTCATAACGTAATCACAAAAATACTGCGTTTATTTTATGTTCTCAGTTCAAATTTACAGAACAGTACGAATATCACGATGACCGCACGCGGTGACACACTTCTTTTTCCTTTCACTTCACCGGCCGGTGAATTGTAGCGCCTTCAAGCACCCTCCCGGCCCTCTCGCAAGGTTATATTACGCCGCACGTCGCGGTGACACGCGGTTCTCTCGAGGTTAGAATCATCAGTGTTTTTAATATAGCGGGGGTCATCCGTCTCTTTTTTGCACATGCGCGGCGCGGCGAACCGTCGTCGTCGTGAGCGCCGCTGTGTGGGGGAGCCCGGAAGTGGCGAGCGAGACCGCCGCCGCGCCGCGCCGCGGCGGATAACTGGCTGCACTGGCAGTACCGGAGAGGGCCTTTACGTCAAGGTGGGTCGGTCACCTGGAGATAACTGTAAAATGTCATCGGCGAATGTGTGTCAGGCATGGACTTGACGGCGCGTACGACGACGGTGACACCGCACGCTGGCTGGCTGCTCGCGACCGTCTCTGTCAATTATGCCGCCGCGTTCCTGAGGTGAAGGAGAGAAGAGCAGCCGCGTCGCACATCCGAGCCGGAGCTGGCCCGACGAGACGCACGAGGAAGTATGTAGTAAAGGATCCCCCGGCGAGGGGAATCCGTCGGCGTTGCGCGCAACTCTTTCGTCGCTCGCTCTCCTCTGTTACGCTTTCCTCCTGTCGTTCTCTTTCCTCTCTCTCTTGCTCTCGCTCTCTCTCTCTCTCTCTCTCTCGCTTTCTCTCCCTCTTTCTCCGCTTTTTCCTCGATTCGCGAGAATTCGCACGGGACGCACCGGGGCGTGTTGCATGCATAGGTCGATTACGAAACACCTTTTGCGCCGGATAAGCCGCGTTATCGAGGATGCTTTTGGCCCGCGAGGAGATTATCGCGTCTCCCTGGCGAATCGTCCGGAGACGCTTCACGCATGTCGCCCGGCCGTTACGAGCAACCGGGAATCTTCCGCGCGATGAATGATTCACTTGGCATCGAAAAAAAGCCAGTGCGGAAATTATTAATAAGAGGCTCCTCCGCCGATGATTCTTTGACATTACGGCAGAAGAGCGAGAAAGGGAGGAAGAGGGGGAGGGATAATGAGTGACTTAATTATATATTTTTATATATAAATAACTAATACGCTGCACACGTTTACTTAGTTATTTTTATAATCTCTCGCACGCAATTAATACATTTTTCATTGATTATCCCGGATATTTGTTTACACATCTTATTTTTTTCTTTATCTAAAATCGTGCCTTTGTCTTCTAAAAATATAAGTCCTTCATTCACTGTTTCTCTTATAAATATTACATATATGTTACAAATTATAATTTTTTTTTCTATCAAAAATCGGAGGAGAAATAAATTCTAATTAATTTTTGCTAACTTTGAAAAAAAACGAGAACTTGGCTGAAATACATTGCTAATTTTTAGATATGTTACAATTTTGATCTGCGTGTATCTCTATGAATACGTGTTTACTTTGCAGGAAAAAAGTCACAAAGCACCATGGAGGGGACAGAAGTTACGTTTTTATTCCAGTTCGGTCTGATACGTGACACGGTCACGGTCGATAGCAGCACGCTTACTCTTAAGGCCCTGAAAGATCTCGCCTGTGATTTTATAAACACCAAGTGTCCGGAGCACGGATTGAATCATCTGTTTGAGAGATTAATTTTGTTCAAGCACGATTACAATTCCACAAATGTTTTGCAGCTGGTTACAAACGCTACGGAGGTAGTTGACGAGACGCTGGTAGAAGTCGTGTTGACTGGTAAAGAAAAAGCTTTTATGCGTTGTGCTACAGATTTCTCACATAAAATGTTGTTTTAAAAATCGTTTAATATATTTCAGCACAAGTGCCAAGCGAATACATTCCCATTCGACCCCATGCCTTAGCAGTACATTCCTACAAGGTTCCAACATTTTGCGATTTTTGCGGTGAAATGTTATTTGGGCTTGTTCGACAAGGACTCAAGTGCGAAGGTAAATTTATGATAAATACTTTAAAGCTTTTTGCAAATTATATATATATATTTTTTTTTCTTATGTGATCTTTATCATGTGGTAACAGTAAAATGTTTAACTTTTCAGGTTGTGGTATGAACTATCACAAGAGATGCGTTATCAAAGTGCCGAACAACTGTTCGCAAGACGCGAGTCAAAGACGGCGCAGTTCGGCCATGCTGAATGTTCCACGATCGCCGAGTCAGGGTTCCACTAGCAGCCTGACGAGCAATACCGACGATAATCACAGTTCAAATAGTACACTTAACACAAGCCAAAATAATAGTACATTGGTATGAGCGAACAGTATATCATTTGACTTTAATTTAATGTACACATACACCTTTGAAAAACGAATAAATACGGCTGATATTATTTTTCTTATTCTCTTTTATTTGGCGAAACGGTATTCTTCGTGTGCGCGTTTCCGAATAAAATGTATGTACTTGTATTGTAGGCAATACCGAGTATAATGGCACCAAAACAGTCCTCTTCGCCGATATTGGGAGGGCGGCCCGTTTGGGTGGAGCGTGAGCTCGCAACGCGAATAAAAATCCCGCACACGTTCGTAGTGCACACGTACACGCGCCCGACTGTATGTGGGCACTGTAAAAAGTTGCTAAAGGGTATATTTAAGCAAGGCCTTCAGTGTAAAGATTGTCAATACAATACGCACAAAAAGTGTATGGATAAAATACCAAAAGACTGCACCGGAGAAAATCCACGAGATAATATAGGTAGAATACTATTTGGACACGTAAATTTAAACAATTTGTAGTGCAGATAGATCTAATGAATTAAAAAAATGCTTCCCCAGGCGAATACACAGATAGCGGTGTTGGCAGTGAACTAGAAGCCAAATGTGATATTAGAAATGAGGAAGCTGATGCTGACAGCGATACAGAATCGTCGCTTCTATCACGAGATTCGTCGTTCACAAATAACGAGAATAAGATGCCCAATGATTATCCAGTAAGTTGCTCGTTCTTTTTTCAACGTTTTTTTTTTTTGAAGTCGCAAAATGGAAATAATTTAAAAAAAAAAGTGTTTTAACGTTGAAATTGTGTGCTCGTAGGATCATGCACGATGTAACGATGACGCTGCTTATGATGAGTATCAGAAATCACGACCATCAAGGTAAGCTTTTGTACTGTAATAATATCGTTTTCAAATTTTATTTTTATCCCTGATAATATCAGCGATTTTTATTTATTTAAAATACCTATCTAAATCATATTTTTCTAATATCGCTCCTTTTTTTCTTTCATCAAAAAAGCTGTAATTCTACACCGAGCAACAACATTCCATTAATGCGGATAGTACAAAGTGTGAAACATACTAAGAAACGCGGGTCTAAAGTATTAAAAGAGGGTTGGATGGTGCATTTCACAAATCGTGATCCAATTGTGAGTATTTATAGTAGCAGTGCAAATTTTATGATTTTTCTAATTTTTCTGACATTTAAATTATTAACTACTGAATGTATAAATATTTACACAAAATGATTTACGAATCTTTTCAGAGAAAGAAACATTATTGGCGGCTTGACACAAAGTCTATAACGCTATTCCAAAGCGAGAATGGTTCTAAATATTACAAGGAGATACCATTGGCTGAAATTTCTGCGATTGAAACTGCTAAAACACCTCGTTCATGTACGTTCTTGCTTTATATGAGTTAGAAATTGTTTCCGTTTTAAGTGCATTTTTCTTTTTTCTTTTTTTTTTAAGATTTTATGTGTCAACCCCCAACAAGCCTTTCCTCAGTTAAACTTCTTACACACTTCTTGCGTACTTTGTATTGTAGATATAATGCATTGCTTTGAGCTAAAAACTGCCAATGCCGATTACTTTGTCGGGGAGGATCCATCATACGGAGATAATTGCGGCCAAGTCTCTCCTCCCGAAAGTGGTATCGGAGCTCACATAGCTAGATCGTGGGAAACTACTATTAGACAAGCACTTATGCCTGTAACCGTGTCGACTAGTATGTATGATTTGGTTTCGCTATAGTGACATTTCTGTGCAGAACGGAAAACACGCGGTTTCTCACGCGCCTTTTATTAGTTTATATTTTACATTTTTCCCCAATTATTTGACTACAACAGTAAATCCCGTATTGAAATATTGTTGCCTGAAATTAAATGATGACGGAGAAGGCATTACGTGTCGTGGACCAACGAGGCATTTTGTGTTGTAGATCAAGAGGAGTCCGCCGAGCCTACCGAACCCGAGGAGAACGTCACCGATATGTCACAATTGTATCAGATTTTCCCGGATGAGGTTTTAGGGTCCGGACAATTCGGCATAGTTTACGGGGGTGTTCATCGCAAGAGCGGCCGCGCGGTCGCCATAAAGGTCATCGACAAGCTGCGTTTTCCCACGAAGCAGGAGGCCCAGCTGAAGAACGAAGTGGCCATCCTGCAGAATCTGTCGCACAGCGGAGTGGTGAATCTCGAGCGTATGTTCGAGACAACGGAGCGGATATTCGTGGTAATGGAGAAGCTGAAGGGCGACATGCTGGAGATGATCTTGAGCTCGGAGAAGGGACGGCTCAGCGAGCGGATAACCAAGTTCCTCGTGACGCAGATTCTGGTCGCGTTGAAACACCTCCACAGCAAGAACATCGTGCACTGCGATCTCAAGCCGGAGAACGTGCTGCTGAGCAGCGACACGGACTTCACCCAGGTGAAACTGTGCGACTTCGGATTCGCGCGGATAATCGGCGAGAAGAGCTTCCGCAGAAGCGTCGTCGGCACGCCGGCGTACCTCGCGCCGGAGGTTTTGCGAAATAAGGGCTACAATCGTTCCTTGGACATGTGGAGCGTCGGCGTAATTATATACGTGTCGTTAAGTGGCACCTTCCCCTTCAACGAGGAAGAGGATATTAATGAGCAGATTCAGAACGCCGCATTCATGTATCCGCCGACCCCGTGGAAGGAAATTTCGAGCGATGGTGATTAGCACTTCTGTTATTTCTCCGCGAATTGCCTTCGATGAGCAGTGTAATATTAGTATATAAATATATGAGATTACGTTTTTTTTTCTTAATAATATGTATTAATAATTGCTTCTCTATCTTTCAGCTATTGATTTGATCAATAACCTTCTGCAAGTTAAGCAGAGAAAGAGATACACCGTGGACAGGAGCTTGCAACACGTGTGGCTACAAGTAAGCATT